GGCTCACTCGGCCCATTTACTGCCACCAGTGTCTCCACTGCCACCAGACCCACCCTCTCTGCCTGAGCACCCCAGCCCATCTGCCCTACACCCACCGCTGGACAGAGCAGGCAGGCAGGGCCCCTGTGGAGACCAGCTAGGGACCCCCACAGGCAGGGTGCACTCATCCAGACAGAAAGGATGGGGCTGCAGGTGGGTGGGGAGCTACGTCCAGGAACAGGGCAGGTGGGACTGGGTCCAGGATTATGGAGTAGTGATAGCATAGAGCCAGAGCAGAGCCACGATCCTCTCCCTGCACATTCTTGCCCATGGAACCGGCGGGGGGTGTGGGGAGCTGACCGTGGCTCTGCCCCAGCCCCATGCTGTCATTGTTCTGCAATCCCATCCCATTTGCTGGGCTGAGCCCTGCCCTTGGGGATACCTAGCCAGTCTCCAGGGAGACTCCACTCGCCCACTCCATCCAGCACCCTTGGCAGTGGGTACGGGGCGGATGGGCCAGGGGCATGATAGGATCAGTTGCCCCCCACCCTCCTTTGCCCCCCTGCTGTGCTGGGCCAGTTCACCCCTCCCCCAATCCCTCCAGCCTACAACAGCTCACCAGAACTCCTTAAGTGGCCCTCAACCCAAATAATTGCCCACCCATGTGCTAAGCTATATAATGGGATTTAGCTGTTGTTTGTAGGCTTGTCCTAATAGTTTTCTTCTGTCCTCAGGTGGTGTATCAAACTGCTGTTCATTCGTGTTTTCCATATGTGCACTACCAGCATTTAACATAAAGGAGTGTCAAACTCATCTGGTTTTGCAGGCTTGCTGCAATACTTGGGGCCAGTCTGCAGGCCAGATTGTGCCTACAGACTCTCCCTTATGCTGTAGCCAGCCCACAGGGCAACATGTCCTGGACCATCCTGGCTTCAGGCCCCATGCATGCAGCACATGCCAACCCTGGCCCTACCCCTGCACATGGCATGTGGGATGAGTCAGGCTGTACGCTACACACAGGGTTGGTCTGCAGTGTGTGTAGCACCTGCACTAGACTGGCCCTGTGTGCTGGATCTGGCACTGGTGGCCAGTCTGTGAGCCTGATCCAAAGCAGCCCTGGATCCAGTGTGCAGGGCCAGTCCAGTGTAGGTGCTGCATAAAGTTCACCCCAGACTAGCCCTGTCATGTGTAGCCCACATGAAATGGGCTCTACGCTGCATGCAGGGCCAGGGCAGCACATACTGGCTGGGGCCAGTCAGGCAGCCCTGAAGGCAGGATGATAGGGTTCCGTGAGGTGTATTTTTGATGCCCAACTTAACAGATCACAAATGTAAGCATTGCTGAACTGTATTTTGCTGTAAAAGTTATTAACAGCAAAATAACGTTGTAGATTTTTTTTTTTTTTTTTTTTTTTTTTTTTAAATATGGTTTGAAGTAACATTCTTCTTTGCATGAGAGAGAGAGTCTGTTGCTTTGGCTAAGGAACATAGTTTGCAAAAGTGTGCTGCCAGGTTTTCACCTTTGATGTGAGGGGGGGGAAAATGTCTGTGCCCCTAAAACATACTGAGGAAACTTTTTTTTGTTGTTAATTTACCCATAACCCAAAAACTGCTCCCAAATGTCACAGTCAGGGAGGCTTTGAATTATTGGATGTCTGTAGAAAACATCAAGCAACATAAAATTGACAAAGGGACTCAGCCTTCTGAGGCACTGCTAATGGGGTTCCTCATATAAACAAGTCTGTTTGAATAATAGCATAGAGTTTTTTGTTTTCTTGTTGCAAAATAACAGAAGCTACCAATTCATTTTTAAGTAGGATTTAGCAATCCATATAGATAGGGACAGTTGTATCAGCTAACCATGTAGGATCTGTAGTTTTGCATCCCAAAAGTTAAAAGTTTAGTTTTGACTCTTCCACCACCCTCTTTGTGATTATGTTGCATTGGAAAAATGTTAAATAATTCTTTCCATTATGTACTTTACTTTAGTTAATCCTATTGTGTACATTTTATTTATTTATTTATTTATTTATTTATTTATTTTAGTGTATATGTGAGTGAGTGTTCAGGAGATGATCAGATCTAGGGGAATCGGGACTACAGTTTAGCAGTATATGAAATGGGATTGAAGTTTTATTTTTTTCACATGGAGTCATAGTTTGGAAAAGATGTAGGCTGCTGTTCCAAATACAAGTCTTCAGTAGTTTCTGGAGCCTCTCCAAGAAATGAATTTACACTAGTATTAATACCCTGCAGAATAAAGCTTTGTTTTCACCGAGTAAGCTATCCTTAGTATTTGATGGAAACATAATGAGATTAAGGCTTGCCACAGGGATTAATAGTTTTAATATCAAGTAATTTTTGTGTGCAGTGATCCTTTTTTATAATGTAAACCAAGGAAATGATTCACTTTGCTGATGTGGTATCTGGGTAATTGCACTAATTTATATTTAGGCTTCCATTAACAATTTAAGACTAATCTTCCTTTTCCTTGTTTTCAGATCTTCCCCTTCAGAAGCAGAATTTGATGCTGTGGTTGGGTATTTAGAGGATATTATAATGGGTAAGCTCCTGCATCTAGATGTGCCTTAAAATAAGCAGTAAAAGTATTGAGGAGCAGGATATACATTGCATTCTACTGATAGAGGCATGTGGAGCAAGCAGCACAGTCCCTGCCTTCCCTCTGCCTGCTTTGAGCTGGAACTTGTATTTCCTTGCTTTCACGAGCACTAACTTTACATGTCTGCTGTATCTCTCCAGTTGTTCAGATTTTGGCCTCCCACAACATGTTTTAATTTTCCCCTATGCTGCTCTGATACTAGAACAAGTCCCTACATTAATGAAGATGTGATAAATATAGATACTGGTAAAGTCCCACATGGAAACTGAGGCTTGCAATTCATAGATTGTTAGGTGCTGGAAGGGACCTCACAGATCTTCAGGTCCAGCCCTCGTGCTCTAGGCAGGGAGACAACTGGGGTCAAGTGATCCCAGCAAGGTGACTGTCCAGTCTTCTCTTGAAAAGCATCGGGGTAGGTGACTGCACCACCTGTGGAGGGAGTTTATTCCACAGTTTGGACACCCTGACTGTGAAGGAGTTTTTTCTGGTATTAAGCCTGAAGTGGCCTTCCAGGAGTTTGTATCCATTGGTCCTGGTCTTCCCCAGGGGTTCCCTAGTGAATAGTTGTTCACCAAGCTCCTGATGCCCACCTCTGATCTAGAAGTAAGCCACTATCAAGTCCCCTCTCAACCTTCTCTTCTTTAGGCTAAAGAGGCCCAGCTCCCTCAGCCTTTCCTCGTATGGCTTGCCTTGCAAGTCCCTGATCATACGGGTGGCTCTTTTCTGGGCCCTCTCCAAGTTTTTCCACCCAGTGAAGTGTGGCACCCAGAACTGGACGCAGTACTCTAACTGCGGTCTCACCAGTGCTGAGTACAGCGGAAGTATCACTTCCTTAGATTTACATGAGATGTATCGGTTGATGCATGCCAGCGTGTTGTTTGCTGTGCTGGCCATCGCATCACACAGACAGCTCATATTCATGTGATAGTTGATCATTACCCCTAGGTCCCTTTCAACCGTGGTACAAGTCAAGCTGTCACCACTGAGCCTGTATGTACGTTGAGGGTTATATGCCCCCAGATGGAGCACCTTACACTTGGAAGTGTTAAACTTCATCTGGTTCCGGTCTGCCTAACTCTTCAGCCTGTCCAGGTCTGCTTGTATCTGCAGCCTATCTTCTGGCATTGCCACACTACCCCATAACTTGGTGTCATCCACGAACTTGGCCAACGAGCTTTTCACTCCCCCATCCAAATCATTGATAAAGATGTTGAAAAGCACTGGTCCAAGCACGGACCCGTGAGGGACACCACTAGTCACTTTGTGCCAGGATGACATAGATCCATTCATGACAACTCTCTGGGTCCTACCTTGTAGCCAGTTTCCCACCCACTGAACTGTTGAGTAGCTGAGCCCACCATCTTCCAGTTTTCCCACAAGGATATTGTGGGATACTAAATCAAAAGCCTTTTGGAAGTCTAGATATATAACATTTACCTCCTCTCCCATGCCCAGGTGGCAAGAGACCTTATCATGGAAGATGAAATTTGTAAGACAAGACATACCCACGACAAAGCCATGTTGACCGTCATTCAGAATCTTACCTTCTGCAAGCATGTTGCACATAGATTCTTTAATGAGCTTTTCCAGAATTTTCCCTGGGATAGAGGTTTGGCTGATTGGCCTATAGTTGCCTGGGTCCTCCTTCTTCCCCTTCTTGAAGATGGGCACAATGTTGGCCCTCTTCCAGTCTTCAGGGATTTCCTCCATGCGCCATGAATTCTGAAAGAGCTTTGCCAGGAGTTCCACAGTGACCTCAGCCAGCTCCTTCAGCACTCTCGGATGAAGTCCATCTGGTCCTGCTGACTTCTTCAGGAAGGAAGTTCTTAGGAGGAACTTCTTCACAGTTAGAGTGGCCAAGGTCTGGAATGGGCTCCCAAGGAAGGTGGTGCTCTCCCCTACCCTGGGGGTCTTCAAGAGGAGGTTGGATGGGCATCTGGCTGAGGTCATGTGAACCCAGCACTCTTTCCTGTCTGTTCAGGGGATCGGACTCGATGATATATTGAGGTCTCTTCCAACCCTAACATCTATGAATCTATGACTTATAAATGTCTAGCTTTTCTAGTTGGTATTGCACCCGCTCAGCACCCACAGTGGGGAGACTGCCATTCCCAGCATGCCCCCTATGAGCCTTATCTTTTGACTTTCACTTGACTTTCCCTTTGGTCTGGTGAACTACCAAAGCAAAGTGGGCATTCAGGAGTTCAGTTTTGTCCTCAATGTCGGTTACCAGCTGTCCTGAGGTGTTAAGCAGGGGTCCCACATTTCCATTTGTTTTCCTTCTACTGCCTAAATACCTAAAGAGGGACTTCTTATTGTCCTCAACTCCTGTGGCTAACCTAAACTCAGTTGCTGCCTTAGCTTTCCTGATCATTTCCCTACAAGTGCTGGCCACTAATGTATAGTCCTCCTTGAGAGACTGTCCCCAGCTTCCACTGTCCGTACACCTCTCTTTTTTTAAGAGGACTGTAATGTCACTATTAAGCCAGGAGGGCTTGCCAGCCCTTCTGGTACCTTTCATTTTTGCAGGAACGGTTTTCTTTTGTGCTTTGAGGATTGTATCCTTGAGCAATGACCATTCTTTGTGCACCCCATTTGCCTTCCCTTCCTGGTCCCGCATCGCCTCCCCTACTCATGTTTTTAGCTTGTCAAAGTCAGCATTTTTGAAGTCCAGGACTTCAGTCCTGCTGGTTGATTTGTTGACCTTGCAGCAGATGGTGAACCTGATATTTTCATGGTTGCTGTTGCCCAGGTTACCCTCAATGTTCAAGCTACACACCAGATTATCTCCTTTGGGCAAGGCCAAGTCTAGGAGAGTGTTGCCTCTGGTTGGCGCTTGCACTTCCTGGGTCAGTAAGAACTCCTCGATCACAGTCAGGAAACTGTACACAATCTGACCTAGTTAAGTGTTCCTCCCAATCTATGCCTGGGTAATTGAATTCACCCATGATAACCAAGTCCCTTGCACGTGCAGCCTCTGTCAGTTCTCAAGAGAGGTCCAGATCCAACTCCTCCCCTTGGTTTCGTGGCCTGTAGTAAAAGCATACAGTTAGGTTCCTCTCACCGTGTCCCCCTACCTGTAGCTTGACCCAGAGGGTTTCAAGCTGCTTATTTTTGGAGCCAATGTCAGCCTCTAGAGAGGTGTACTGCTCTCTCATGTACAGAGCTACCCCTCTGCCTTTGCGCCCTACTCTGTCCCCTCTGTGCAGGTGTAGCCCTCTATGGCTATACTCCAATCATGCGAGGAGTCCCACCAGGTCATATTGCCCAGTAGAGACCAGGAGGGCTAGCTCCTCCTGCTTGTTCCCCACGCTCCTGGTATTGGTATACAGGCAGCTGAGGCCCCCAACTGACACCCTCGATTTCCTAAGATGGTGGGGGAGAACTGTGTGGTTAGCATTTTCAAAAACAGTTGTGTTAGTGTCCTCCACAAGGGAGCTTTTCTGTGTGCCAGTCCCTGGGCATGCTCCACTTGGAGTTTCCCCATCTCCCAGAAAAGTCAGTTTAAAGCCCTGTCCAATAGATCAGCCATCCTGGATGAGAACAGGACCTTACCTATCCGCATGAGGTAAATTCCATCTCGTCCTAGGAGTCCTCTCTTTGAAATGCATGCTGTGGTCAAAGAAACCGAACCCCTCGCGGTAGCGCTATTGTCCGAGTCATCTGTTAACCTCTTCCACACAGCCTTCCTCTGGGTCCGTGGCCTGTGACAGGGAGCACAGAAGAGAAAACTACTTGAGCCCCTAGTCCCTTGAGCCCAGCCCCCAGGCCCCTATAGTCACTCATAACCCAGTCAGGGTTACCCCTGGCCATGTCGTTCATGCCCACATGTATGAGGAGCATGGGGTAACAGTCGGAGGGACTGACAAGCCTGGGGATCCTCTCCGCAACATCTTGGATGTGGGCCCCAGGGGGCCTTCATAGTTTCATAGTTGGTAGGGTTGGAAGGGAACTCAGCAGATCATCAAGTCCGACCCCCTGCCATGGCAGGAAAGAGTATTGGGGTCAAATGATCATGGCCAGGTGTTTATCCCACCTCATTTAAAAGACCCCCAGGGTAGGAGTCAGCCCCACTTCTCTTGGAAGTTGGTTCCAGATCCTAGCCGCCCTGACAGTGAAGTAGCACCTCCTGATATTTAGCCTGAATCTACCCTTTGCTAGCTTGTGACCGTTATTTGTTGTCACTCCTGGGAGTGCTTGGGGGAACAGGGACTCCCCCAGTGCCTGCTGGTCCCCTCTGACCAGCTTGTAACAGACCACTAGATCCCCCCTCATCCTTCTCTTGTGGAGGCTGAACAGGTTTAGGTCCCTTAGCCTCTCCTCATAGGGCCTGGCCTGCTGCCCCTGTTCATTCAAGTGGCCCTCCTCTGCACCTTCTCCATGCTGTCCACATCCCTCCTGAAGTGCGGCGCCCAGAACTGGACACAGTACTCCAACTGCGGTCTGACCAGTGTCGCATAGAGGGGGAGGATCACCTCCCTGGACCTGCTTGAGATGCATCTGTGGATGCATGACAAGGTATGGTTGGCCTTCTGACTGCATCCCCACACCGTTGGCCCGTGTTCATAGTGGACTCAGTAATGACTCCAAGATCCTTCTCTGCCTCTGCACTGACGAGAGGGGAGTTCCCCAGCCTGTAGGTCTGCTGCTGGTTCTTCCTTCCCAGGTGCAGCACCCTGCTCTTGTCAGTGTTGAAACCCATTGTGTTCTCATTCACCCACCCCTGTAACCTGTCTAGGTCTGATTGCAGCCTATTCCTCCCTTCTAGCATGCCCACTTCTCCCCACATCTTAGTGTCACCTGCAAATTTGAACGGTGCATTTTACCTCATTGTCCAAGTCGCTGATGAAGATGTTGAACAGTGCGGGCCCGAGGACCCAGCCCTCTTGAGCTAAGGGGTCCAGATGGCAGATAGGTCCCTCCATACCTCTTGGGAGAGAGTC